GCTTCTAGCGCTTTAAAATTCTCTGCTTTATCGCAATTAAAGTTGACTGTGGGCCACTTGAAGCATGCAAATTTTAGTGCCTTAGTTGTGATTACTGATCTGTGTTTTAAAAATCACGGCCCGTTCTTTGCACCTTCCCTCGTACCTTTCCTTTCGCATTTTCCGTCTTCTCAAATTTGGATGGTAATTGTTTCAGTGGAGCCAGCGGAGAGTATACGGGTCTTCTTGCTATTCGCAAATATTTACAGTCGATTGATCAGGGACAACGAGATGTAAGTTCCGCAATTCTTAACTTTCAGCAGTCATTTTTTGATTTGTTTTTTTAAATAGAAGTAATAAAATTTTTAAACGTTTTTCCATAAAAGTCGAAATTTTCCAATTAACTGTTTAATTTCTTTTGAGTTTGATAAAATTGCAATATTTTCAAACAGATACCGGTATGCCCCAGGGAACTGACATATGCATCCGTTTTATTCACGAGTATCAACCTTGCAAAACTGCAAATTCGAATCATACAATACGTCTTACATCCACTCTGAAAAGAGAAGGCCTTCCATGCTTTTAGTTTTCTTATGAACAAAGACTAAGTTCCCAAAATTTCAGCTGACAGTGAGACCTGAAAATGCATGAAAGCATAAAAGCCATTTTCAGGTTGATAATTTATTTTTATTTTTTGTCTATTTATTACGGAGGTATTTATCACGATAATATTATCATTTTTATAGTTCGCTATTATTTATTACTAATTACTAATTTACTAATCTAATTGCAATTTCTTACACTAGATACTATACATTAAAACATGAACTAATGCGTACACATGCACACAAACGTAGACGGGTAAGATGCAGTAACTTGCGTTTTGCATTTTCACAAACAATCAAGTGATTTTCGTATTTCAATTTCGAGGAAAGTCTGATCTTCCATCAGAAATTAAAGGTCTGCTTGATTCCAATATCAGCACATGGCACCAATCCAGCAAGTGCCAATATGGCAAATATGCGGGTAGTCGTTGTGGATGCTGACCGGCATGGCAACATCAACTACAAAGATCTCTCTGCCAAGGTTTTGATTTTTCCCCTCAATTAGGCATATTTTTTTGCATATGCACAATTGGATGAAGCATATTGCTTGTTAATAAGGCATCTTTGGTAGCAGGGCGAAATAAGGGACAGAAATGGCGGTGAGGCGGGGAGGAAAGTAACAGTCTTCGTGCATAAGTAATTGATTTTAGCAGTACTGGTTAAGTATATACAGTCGGTTTGTGAATTAGATTTGCTTAAATATTTCAGTGCGACAGTATGAAGTCTGTTTTCTTTGTAAAAGTTATTTGCTAAAGCTACAAATTTTTTTTTTGGATTTTATTGCTTTTGATGAATGCCCGAACGAATTAGGTTATCTAGCTAAGCCAAAAGAACCATTATTTAACTACTGGCCCTATCAAGTAGATAAATTTTCAAACAGGCAAGCAGAAATGCATAAAAGCCATTTTCAGGTTGAAAAATACAAAAATGAATTGGCGGCAATAATGATCACATACCCATCAACGCATGGCGTCTTCGAATCATCGGTTGTCGATGTTTGCGCCAAAATTCATGAAAACGGTGGACAAGTTTATTTGGACGGTGCTAATTTGAATGCTCAGGTAAAATGTGAATGTACTTCTGGGGAGATCTCAAACATGCCGTCTTTATTTGGAGGAAAATTAAAAAGTTTTTTGCTGTTTCAATGCATTTATGCAGCAAAAGTTACAAAAAAGGCGTCTTTTTTAACGGATTTCAGCACGTAGTTATGAAGAATTCGATAGCAGTTAACAGCAGATGCTAGAGCATTCAAATTTCAGGTTGGATTATGTCGACCAGGTGACTACGGCAGCGATGTATCACATCTAAATTTGCACAAGACATTTTCCATCCCTCATGGTGGAGGTGGCCCAGGAGTTGGTCCAGTTGGTGTGTAAGTTACCAACCTTGCTTCCTGAAATTTAGATTTCAACGTTTTCGAATAAATACTTGTTTTTATGTCCAGGTTTTCAAAAGAAAGCTCTTGTAGATATTATGCAGGAGCCAGATCTTTTTTATGAAAAATTCTAAAATATACTGATCGCAGAAGTCGTTCGATTATTATGAAAAAGCAAGGATAAGTTGATGAGTAGTAGGCTAAGCATGGGGCTTGCTGATAGGCCGCCGAGGCTAATTAATTCCACGCGGATTAGAGAGCTTGTAAGTACCCACTGCAAGTCAAGTGGGCTTGGGCTAGAACAGAAGCAGGTATCAGTTTGCACGGAATTTGTGTTTTAAAATTTGTTTTCAGTAAAATGCATTTGGCGCCTTTCTTGCCGGGACATTCGGTGGTACCAGTGGAGGAGCGCAAAAGTGGTGCAGTGAGTGCAGCACCTTATGGTTCAAGCAGGTTCGCCTGCTGGTTCTTTCAATTTTTAATAGGTTTGAAAATCCGGGCCGTGGTTTTCATATTTATCAATCTTTCTTGCCTGTTAGCTTCAGGTTAGAATCTGAATATGAAATTTACAATTTTTAGTATAATTCCAATCACATGGGCATACATACGAATGATGGCGGGAGTTGGCCTGAAGGAAGCCTCACAAATGGCAATTCTCAATGCAAATTACATGGCAAAACGACTAGAAGCAGCGTATCGAATTGTCTACAAGGCAGCCACTTCCTTACATTTCCACTTTTCATTTAGTATAGTCGATGAAGCGCAAAAACACATCAGCTGAAGACTGGAGTATTAGGGGAAATAATGATGAATTATTGCAAAAGTTTTTGCAGGAAAACTAAAGAAGGAATTACAGAGAAGAAAATCAGTTGAAAATACTGTAAGAAGAGGAATTTTTATACATTTAGTGAGCAAAAACACATGTAGTCGAGAAGCCGTCGGCGTGTGTGTGTTCGAAGGCGAGTGAACTTTGTCACCCACTTTCAATTCAGCAACCAGGAAGGTTGGAGCCATATTCTCCCCCATCTGTCGCCTTCATGCTTAAAAAACTTTGTCCATATTCGCCTAGGTCCCGCTTACGGACCCCGGAAAGAATACGCAAATTTCTTCGGGGGAAACGATTTCGTGAACCAGACAAGATAGGAAACTGAAACTTTGCAGGGATATTCTCTGTACATGTGTGAGCTAAAGACTTCGGAATCAGCTATTGCGCACGCTTACACCGGGCATGCGTTCTCGTCAAGGTTCGCAGTTGGCACTGTGTTAACTCGAAAACTGGCCAGAAAATAGTAACAGAGATTTTGTCAAAATATTTGTTGTTCATATGAAAAGTCGCGTACCTAAATTGAGTTTCGATTTACATTTGCGCTGCGACTTAAGGCACTTCAAAGATATTTGTAGCGAAATGGCTATTTCAATTACCAGACAAGCTGCGAAACTGAATCTTTGCAACAGTATTCTATATTAACGTGTGGTCTTAATTTCCACTTGAAGGTGAAATTCCATGCGCGCAGACATGATAGATACTCAGTTTTATCGCATATTCAAAAGCGAGTGCGTTTTGTAGATTTCATAATCCTCTTCGGACTTACTTCAAGTTTGCATTTTCTCAATAGGACGAGCATTCAACGGAAAAACGACCAGGCTTCACGCGAAAAACTTATAATCATACACGCTGGAGGTCCATGCAGCTCCACAATGCAACATTCATCCCAGCCGACACCCTTTCCTCCTGCATACAGGAAGAGGCCAAAACAGAGCAAATTTGAGTCCTAATGTTAAACTGCAATACAGGAACTATTCCTACTGTTAGCTACCTGCAATTTAACGCAAAAATGCATGATCGCACCGACAAGCCTGGTGCGTGCAGCCTATGCTGTAGGCTGACCATGCGCTTTTGAGAATTTTCATTTAAATGCTACTGTAGAATATGAGAAGAGTTAAATACACACTGATTTTTTGGGGCAGCGTACTCTGGGTTCTAAGCCTTCACAATCATACGCTTACTGCAGGATGAACAAGGGCTGGTGGCACATGAATTTATAATCGACTGTAAGGACTTCAAGAAAACCGCCGGTGTTGAAGTAGTTGACATCGCTAAACGTCTCATGGATTACGGGTTCGTTTTTATAAATCAGTCGTGCCTGGGCGCAGTTCTTTTCAGTAAAATAACAGCAGTACAACTGGCTTTATTCGGCTTTTTACAGTTCCAGCTCCTCGTAAATTTTTTATAATTGAATATAACGAAAAAATGCCTAATGTTAGTCGGTTGAAAAATTTGAAGGTATTTTTCATTACAACGTCTTATGCTTGTTGGTCAGTCTAAGACATCTTGGTATCAATCGCATAGACAGCTTTTGTTAACAAAGAATTTTCCATCTACGACATGGATTAAAGACATTTACAATTATTTCTTTCCTATTATAAGAATTTCGTCAACTCAACCTATCAGGATGAAAACACAAGGGCAGCCCCTTCAGGATTAATAATGTTCGATTCTCATCCTCATCGTGATTTAACAAGAAACAAGTCAAAAAGAATTTCAGTTTCCATGCGCCAACAATGTCCTTCCCTGTGCACGATTGCTTTATGATTGAGCCAACAGAAAGCGAAGATAAGGATGAGATGGATCGGCTCGTTGACTCGTTGCTCGCCATCCGTGAAGAAATCGCTTTGATCGAAACGGGTCGAATGGATCGTAATGTGAATCCGCTCAAAGTACTGTTACCATTCAGTATCAAAGCTTTTTTTTTAAGATGAAGCATTGCCGAAAGGTTCATAAGTGAATGAGGATTTATATAAGTTACTAGAAGGATTGATGAAGTGAAATGTAGTTGGGATCAAATTTTTTTTCTGTCTTTTCAGGTAAGTTTTTTTCAGTCTTATCAAATAAGTATTTTATCAAATAATTTTTTCAATCTTTTGGTGTACTATTCCTTGTTGTATCCTTTTTCAGAGTTTGAAAAAAATTTGTCTTTTTATTAGCATTTTCTTTTGCAAGAGCTTTTCAACTAATCCATTACTTCTTTTGCAAATAAGGCACATTCTTTTTAATTCACTTGGATTTGGACCCTTCCAAAATCACGAAAGACCGAAAAAATAACGTTTC